ACATAACCAGTTAGCTTCTTCATCAACCAGCCAAACTGAGCATGGCTCCCATCTACATCTTCCTGCAAAGAGCCTAGTCTCCAAGTGGTTCAGCTTCAGTTTTCCCAACCATCGTTTATAGTAATTCCTTTCTACTGGGTAACTCTCCATTGGTCCTATCCTTTGAGAGCTGCCCAATGACAACAGCAATAACAACAGGTTATATTTTGCTCAAACTAACTAGTTCATCCCATTTTGGCTAAAGCAAGTAGAATCCCTTAGAGTCCCAAACTGCTTAAGGCTCAGGTTGACTCTTATTTCCTAGTGCCTAAGATGTGAATGGTTGGAATGAGTGTAAAGCTTTCAACCTAATTTTGGCCTTTCTTCTGTATCCCACAGTTATTTAGGAGCCCTGAAACTGACAAAGTGAATTCTTCATTTATAACTTCAAGTCCTTTTATCTATTTGTTTATAAGGAAGGGGAAGATAAACTTTTGGCAGGTAAAAGTAGCTAGACTAGTTTCCTCTCATTCCAAGCCAAAGAAACCAACACTGACTTCAATGGCTTATTTGGTGTGAAACTGTGCTATCTTGATTGATTATCTCTAATGTGATATTGCATTCTTACTGTCTTGAGAGAACATTTTCTCATAACAGATTTAACATATTAGTTTCAGGCATATGGGTCCATGTTTCACTAAATGTGAATTTTTCTGCCTCTTGACTATAGAAGGTAGAAATAAATGAAGAATGAATGAACCCAAGACATTGTTCATGTTAGGGAAAATCACATAAACCACAATCCCAGAAGAAGATTCTTAGGAACATTTCAGTATTAACTACTGAAATTCTAGATTGGCACTTGTAACTATGAATGAAGATAAAGTTTAAATGTAGTTATTCATAGTATGTGAATATTCACCATTCAGTTGATCCCATGAGGGCTATATTCTCTGGATTTATATTCTCCCAAACTGCAACAGATTCTGTAGATCCTCAGTTTATCCTCAGCAGGGACCTGTTTATTGCCCCTTTCAATTTAATAAAAAATTTTAAATAAAATACAGATTAAATAACTTTTGTAAATATAATGTTCCCATTGGCCAGCTTCCATCTTTAAGACACTGTTTGCTTTAACTTCACACTGATATTTTAACTCTTTTGAAAGGACTCAAAACATAACCCCCAGCTTGTTCAGTACCTAGGATCTATTAGCTGGACACACCTTCAGAATTTTCTTAACAGGTTTCAGTCTGTATTTTTCATTTCACTATTTTGCTTGTGGAAAAGGCCATCTGTAGACTCATTCCACTTTTGATTATTTTTTTTAATTTTAATTTTTTAAGTAGGACAACTATAAAAATGAAATTGAAAACATAATTATTATCTCACTTTCAAAACAAGAATTAGAGCAGTTCCAAGAAGGATACAGCTGACAGTTTTTTTTTTTCCTGGAACTCTTTCACTTTAAAAATATTATTGGCCTATAGATCAAAACATGAAAATTTATTACAGAATTTGATTGTTTATTTTCATGCAAAATAGATCATTTCATACCAGCATAAAAAATTAAAGTTGTGAAGAATAGTCTTGTCTGGAGTGGCATGAAATGTATATAGACCCCCATGAAAACAAAAAATATATATCTAATTTTAATGAGTAAGAAAATCTTTCTAATGAATTGAATTATGTTCCTTGACCTTGGAGGGAGAAATACAGGTTTTCTCCTCTGTGCTAAAGATGTAGTTTCTTTGTTCTGAACCATGATAGGTCTCTGCAGACCTTTATACTTAGTCATAGTATCTAACTGTTGCTGGGAAGAACTGTTCAACAGTAACTATCTAAAACCAGATATTATTTTATCACAATTTCTAAAATTTTAGTGGTTCATTTCAGGAAAAAATCCGGTTAACAGTTAATTTGTCCCAGTTTTGGGGGACTATTTATTACCTAATAATTCTTAGTGGTTTAGCAGGAAGCCATGATTTTTAAAAAAGGGATGATTCAATGAGGCGTTACTTAGGTTTTTCCATGACCATGGTGAATACCTAATAACTTCAGAAGTTTTTTCAGACAAAATTATTTTGGCTATGTTCTGTGGTGTAGAGATCTGGGGAGTTGTGGGACAAACCATAGAAACTCTTGTTGAAACAAAGAAAGTTGTATGGACATTGGGTTGCTCTTAGAATCACTAGGCAGACTGGAGATTGGGCAGGAACAGAGTGTCACAAGCCCACTAGGGCCAACCCACCCCAAGATCAAATTCTACAAACGTCCTGCAGCTGGAACCACTGGGTCTGGGATGCCACTGCTTGAACCACTGTCCCAATTGGCCCTGGACACTTGCACTGGTCCCCTCCCTCATCCAGGGCTCTGCTGCACCCACTACTGCTTTTGGAAAAATTCTTTACTTTGGTCCTGTTCCTGTGCATCACCAGTCCCAGATCTAAAACCCCAGAGTATGTGTGTCCAGTGGTCATGTGGTGTCTTGTACCTGTGCCCTGTTGATGGATGGATATACCTCTACCAAGACTTATAAGTGAGTGGAGAATTCTCCAAATACAGAAAAGTGGTGCAGATCCTAGGCAGCAAAACAGTGTCAAATGTCCACTCCAGACAGAGCTGGTCAAGCAATTGTTCATGGGTTGAAATGGACTGGAAGCTGCTTCCTAGAGAAATGCTGGAGTTGTTCTGTGGCCCATTCTGAGTGGCAGTCCAGAACTGAAGTGTTCTCCTGCTTAGCAGAAATGGATTAAACCCTTGGTTTTGTTGTGATTTTGTGTTTGATTTTCCCAATAATGAACTGGCCCTGGAAAATGTTCTGTTAGTCTAGTAGAATTCTGCCTTGGTACAGTGAATATAAACATTCCCTGCTGTGCTTATTGGAAATAGGAACAGCATTTTCTGTATTTTAGTGGCATATGGTGGTAAGATTTTATCATACTTTTTTTATAAAGAGCCAGGAAACTTCCTCTGCTTAAAAATGTGTGTTTATAAACAATAAGCTTGCAATGAATATTCCCATCTGTTAGGGGAACATAATTTTTGTAGGAATTCCCATAATAGGTATAGTACTTTGCAACTTTTTTGTATATTTTTTCCCTGGTGAGACATTAGATTAAAGAGATGGTACAAAACAGCATATGCCTAATATTCCATTTTGTATCTGTCTCTCCCTATTGTTTGAAAGCATGTTATTTTTGTACATTAATATATAGGATTGCTATAGAAATTCAGAAGAATTTAAGCCTATTAAGGATACTGCAAAAAAGGAAAAATGGAATGAATAACAATTATAAAAAATGGGTATGTTGCAATGACAAAACTGTTCTAGTAGTTTTTCAAATATGTACTCCAATAACTTGTGTTCTTTTCCAAAATTTTTGTTGACTTTGTTTTAACCTATCTCAAAACTCCCCCTTCTTATTATCACAATATACAATAATCAAAGCTGCTTATCCTTTTGGTCTTGATTTGTGATTTAAATAAAAGGCATTGACTCTTTGTGTTCAATTTGATATTATTCTGGTTATCTGAACTAATTAACTTTTGTTTGAGATGAACCGTTCTTCAGAATAGAATAAAATATTGAAGTAATATCTTTTCATAAAAGATTTTATTAATCTTGTCATAGGATCTCAAGACAGTTATTAGAGGGAAAACATACTTTAATGTTTACTTAATACTGAATTCCTGTATTGTCCACATGTTTTATCCACTTAAAAAGTATGTCTATCAATTACTTTTCCAGGATGACTAATAGGACATACTTGAATAAAAAATGAGCAATTAGTTGAATAAAAGTGATTTCAAACTGCTTAGGAACTGAGCAAATAAAACATATCATACACAATGCCTTTTACCTGATTTTTTAAAGTTTCTTTGATTAGGCTTTGTAAGAGAAAGTATTTTTAAATTGAAGATAACTATTATTGGAACATCTTTTTAGTAAAGGATAACATCACAGTTTTCTCTTTTCCAGAAAACCAGCTACTGTTTAATTGGGTTCTGCTCTCTTTTTCTTTCTTATGATAGACAACTTCCTATGTGTTAAAACTATCCAGATCTCAAGCCTTGTTCTTGATTTTTTTGTGAACATGACTAGAAACCAATTCACATACTCTCTTAGGTATCATGAACAGTTTGGGCTCTGGAGCTATAAAACTCACTTCAAGTTGTCCTTGGTTATATATCCTACTTGTTTACGGATTTCAAAACATCCTAAGTTATAAAACTAACAGTAAACCTAAAGCAGGGCTTTTATGGAAACTGTATCTTCTAACTACTTTTTCCCCCTATAAAATTCTGCTGAAATTTTTAGAAAGGCATTGGTTTGAAGGATGATTATATTCACAATAATGGAAAACAAAAATGAGATGACTTTCATATAAAAAGTTTTTAAAGTTAATGTCAGACCATATGTGGAAAAGTAAAAAAGGCAAGTGTATGAATTGTTTTGAGAGGTGCCTACAGTAGTGAGTGGAGAGAGGACCTGTGTCATAATGTCACTGTTTTCTTTGCCTTAATAACACCCATATCTCATCCTGAAAGTGTTGTTAGAACTTTTAGATTAAGTGACATGACACATTATATTAAGACTGATGCCAGTTCTAGAAATAATTTTTAGAAATTCTGAGAAAGAATTTATAAATTTTTTATTGAAAGGTTTTCTTTAAATGTAAATATTTTTATGTTTAACGTTTAACATTTCTCATTCATTCAGCCACTCATGAATGGTATCTATTCTGTGCATAGCACTGTGTTAGACACCAGGGATGCAATGATGAACAGGATAGATCAGAATCTAGCTTCAAGCAATATAGACAACCTAGTATGGAAGACAGATATCCATTAAATAATCTCATAGATAAATTGCAGTTGCAGTTAAGTGCTTTGATCAGGGAGGGATTACATAGATGTTAGTTTACCAAAAGTAAAATACTTATTGTGCACCTACTAGATGGGATGCCAAGGCTGTTCTTGATGTGGAACCATTGACAATTCTTTTTGGTATTTGGCAGGTACATGATTCCGTCTTTACAGAGGCTTGATGCTGGATTTTACCGCTGTGTGGTGCGAAACAGAATGGGAGCTCTCCTGCAAAGAAGATTGGAAGTTCAAGTCGCATGTATGTATTTACATTGAAAAGATCTCTAAATGTTAAATAACAAAAACAAAGTGTCTGTGGGGAATGCTAATCAAAATCAGTTCTAATCATTGTAGCAACTGCGATTCTATCTTGGATTCCATTTGGAATAGACGAATTACTAAAATTAGTTGAGAGATAATGGCCAACTTAGCTGGTTTGATGATCATGATGGGGCCACTTTTTTCAGTTCAACAGATTAAAAGCCCTATAAGACACTGTGAGGATTAAAAAACAAATGAATAAGATGCCTTCTGTTTTATTATTAGTTAGCAGCTCTTAGCATTTATTATATTCAGATTCAAATGGTTTTAAAATAAAAAATTAAACCCAGTTAGGTAAAATTTCATCAGTTCACAATCATTTATTTCCAATGATGATTTGTTTAGAAATCCTTTACCTGCACAACAAAATTACACAGATAGTAATGTCCCAGATGGTGTTAATGTTATAGTGATACAACCAATTCTCTATTGGACAGACCCATTTTGGAGAATGAAACTTTTAAAAGTAACTAAAGGAGATAACAAATTGCAGGGAGCTTGAATTTTAGTGTAGTCTTTAGCAGGAGAGGGTTGTGAGCTTATACAAGATCATCTAATACTTTCCTAGTTTGAAATCTATGAAAGGTAGGGTCCATCTAAAATGGCCTGTCTGCTTTATTATACTTTTAGTTTACTGCTGAAATGTCTCTTCATTTAAAAGAAAGAAAAAAAAGTGTTATGAAATTTTAAATTGCATATTAATGTCATAATAGGTTTTAGAAAAGTCTAAAGGGCTCCTGAATTGCACTGTGTTAACCAGTGATAACAATATTTTCTCATCTATAATTTTGACCCAGTTAAGGTGAATAGTTTTCAGTGTTACTATATAAAATAAAATTTCCAGTTATTCTACTGTTTTACTATAATTAGTAAGGTGCTGATGCTATGCATGTTTAGTTATGTTTTTAATCACTAGGAAGGCTTAAATTTTTGTGAATCGTGGTGATGAAATCACTCAGCTAAATCTTTCTGCAGAATAATTCAGAACTTTTATTCAATTGAGTAATTGAAAACATAATTAATAAAAGTTCAGATCAATACCCAAAACATACTTGATTAAGTTCATAGCTTGGAATTTAATATATTAACTTCTACTTTATAAAATTAAGTTTTGGACTTTTTTGTGCTTAATATTTATATCCTTGTTTCTGCCCTGTAGCTCTTAGGTTTTCTCTTATCTCTCTTTTCTCTTTCTCTTTGATAACAAATTTTACTCTACTCTAAAATAACTGAATATTTTCCTAATCTCTCTCATTACCTTGTTTCATCTTTTTCCTAGAATATTAAATGCTGCTTTTAACATAGGAAATAATTTCTTCTTAATCAAAAATCCATTAATAATAGTGATCATCAGTAGACTTTTCCAGATTATATACATTCAGACAAAAATATAGTCTGTATGCTATATCTATGTGCATACACATATATCTGTACCAGTCATAATGTGGGAATTTTTCAAAAACTTCAAATGTTACTAATTTAAAAATTGGCCACATACCATATTCTAATGGCTGGGTTTTTTCCTGTGACCCCATTTTTAAAATATTGTTAACCAGTAGCACAAAGACAGGAACAAAACCTACCTGCCCCAGATTAAGGCAACACTATGGAGTTTGGAGAGCCCTAGAAAAAGAAATCAGTGATTAAAAAACATTTCTCCCAAAAGATTTGTGAGGGAGTCACCCCAAAGACATGGTGATGGTGGGGGTGCCTGGGTAGGACTAGCTGGAGGGATTTGGGAACTGCCAGATCACTTAAAAGCATTTTATTATAGTTACTGTGAAAACCTCTTCACATGGCACGTGGTTGCTTTTCAACAATTTGTTTCAATATTAAAATCAGTCACAAATGTTTCAGTGTGTTGTTGCAGCAACAGAAGGGCCATGAAGTTCTGCTGATTAATGCATTTCCCAGGCACTTTGGAGGCGCGTGGCTTTGCCTCATGCTGTTCTTTACCACCAGACCTGTGCTCATGAGCACTGCCACTCAATCTCCCTTGTCTCACTGTGTAATTACAGCTACGTCGGTGACTTTGCTGTAAAAAATAGTTATTTCCATCTTTGACCTGCCCCTCACCACAAAGAGTTTTCTAGAACTTAAAAGGTCTGATTTTTCTCTGCAGTTATGGGAAATTTCATGGATACAGGCCAGAGGAAGACGGTTTCTCAAGGACATGCAGCAGTTCTCAACTTACTGCCCATTACCAGCTGCCCCAGACCTCAGGTGACTTGGTTCAGAGAAGGGCACAAGATTATTCCAAGCAACAGAATGTAAGTTGCTTCAGTTTTAAAAGTTTAAAATACAACTCATTACATTTGTTGGTGCCATTTATATATTGCTGAGTGTACAGTCTACTTCATAATGTGCCTCTGACTTGTGTCTTTGAAAAGAATGACCTCGTCTAGTCCTACCCAGATCCTTAATAAACAGTTATTTTAAGAATGGCTTGGAAATTTTCAAGCAGTTTAACAGTCCTGTAATGTTATTTTTTAGCACACTGCATGCCTTAAGTGAAGCACCCTTACTTACTTTTTATAGTCTGTTTTTTCCTTTTTTTGAAGCCTCCTGAGTTGTGGTTAGCTCCAAGTACTAATTTAAGGAGTGCTGGCATTTCCTTATAGACCTGTGAGCCTTTTTTCCTTCTTTTCATATAGCCGTGTTTGACATGGCTCTCTCTGCTGGGAAAACAGTAATTACTGCTTATTTCCCTTTACCTGGTACTCTACCATGACAGGTTTATTTCCCTTCATCCAATTAGTGGTTCACCCATCTATTCCAGAGTACTTGCTTTGTGATTAGTTAAGCATTATTTCAAGGTGTTCTTGCCTTGTCCCACATTCAAGATATTTATCTAATGCCAAACAGATTTTCCTCATTTGGAGCTTTAAGTGACTAAAGGGAACACTTGGTATATATTTCATAACTTGAGCATTTTGTGATATAAGTTAAAGATGATATACCAAATAAAAAGGTTTCAAGGATGAACAAGTCTAAGCTATCATGAATTGCTGTAAGCTTGGGCAAAAAGTCAAATATTTATGCCATCAGATGGTTGCATTGAGGTAAAAATTCATAAGCAAATGCTTTTTTTTTTCCTAAAAAGGATATGTATAAGACAGTTTGCTGGAAAGGTTTCAAATGTAACCATGAAACTGATGTGGGCATAAACTTGCTTCCTCCCCTACCTGTGTGTCCGTGGAGTCCTTTCTGTAAGCCCAGTGTCACCACTCTTCTGCCCGGGCATCTGAACCCTGCTTGAACCTAGATCATTCTTAAGCTTATTTAGCAAATATTTCTATTTTGGCTATTGGAAACAGGAAAAATATTGAAATATATAAGAGCCATTTTAAAAATTTCCAGTAAAAAGGCCAATTACCATAGAAATTGGGATAACTGCTGTCTTTTTCTTTATGTGATTTAAAGTTGCTTAGGTATCTGTCCACCTTTATATTGATTCCAGTGCTAACAAATGCCTCTCCAGTTGGGTGAAACAAAGATGAGGGGTCAATCTCACATTCTCTTAGAAGAATGTTCGGCTGAAAAAAAAGTAGCTAAGATGGATTCTTGTGAAGTATTCTGGGAGGTTTTATGTTGACTACAGTCTGGTGGGCCAACTTGGGATGAATGGGGAGATTTGGGTCTGGGAGTAGATGGATTGAATTGGGCTTCCCCTCAAACATCGGAGCTTCTAGTTAATGTCAGTGGTTGCAGTTCCTGGTGGAATGACTGTTAACAGCGCACAGCTCTATCCTAATCATTTGTTAACCTGTGGTCTAACTGTGTTCATGAGATGACATTTATTCATGAAGTACAAAAGGATATAGAATGAAACTGACAACTCAGTTTTATAAACTTGTTTAATTCCTGGAGAGCTAATAATGTAAAACCACTAGTAGGGCTTTAACTTAGTGTTGTATCAAACAAATGGTCTGCGGAAGTATTGGTAAATCTCCGGTCTCAGTAGAAGAGTATGCTGGTACACCTTTTATTTTTTTAAAGAGATGAGATGAGGCTGATTGTGGGTATTTATACTTTTCAAGGCCCTTTAGTTTCATATTTTCCACCTCATCATCACCTGCATATTTATTAAGTACCTGCTGTGCAAGATGTCATAAATCATAAGTGTGTGTGTGGTGCCCTCCACAAGTTTACACATCATTCAAAGATACATTACTTTCTGCTTTTAAGAAAGTTCAGCTTTGACTGCAGACGGGGAGGTACTTCTGCATTTTCCCCACCCAGAAGTAGGCAGACAGAAGTCAGATGGCCTTAGATCTGCTCTGTACCACCAGAGGTGTCACTTAAAAACTGGAACATTTGCTTCAAAGTGTTCTGTACATATTGAGACAGGCCACGCTTCTGCACCTGCCTTTAACCTGATTAGCTGATGTCAGTTTCTGAACACTTTGTTGTGTGGAGGAGGAACCTCATCTTGCCACCTTCCGAACCCCCAATTTCTTAACATTATCTCATGACTTCCAAACTGTGAGCTTTAAGTTTACAATTAAAGGATTTTTTTCATTTTCAAGGAAAACAGTAATTCTAACTTTTCCTTTCTTGAAAAATTAGTTGAATAGCCTGTTAATAATTTTTATGGATTAACTGCTTTAAATATATTTTCTCTAATCCTCACAACTACCTTCTGAGGCACATTTAATTAACTCCACTCACAGCTATCAGAACTGAAGAGCAGAGAGGTTAAACCACCTACCCAAGGGCACACAGCTGACAAATGCAGAGCAGGATTCAAACCCAGATCTGCCTGCCTCTAAATCTCATGCTCTCTCCTGCATCAGGATAACTCTTATTTTTGCTTTATTTTGCTGAACCTTCTTTGTGCTTTTGATTTACTTTTTCCATACTTTGCTTTAAGTCTTTTTTTCCTATTTTTTAGAACACCAGCTTTCAATTTGAAATAATACTATAGGTTAGCCTGGGTTGCCATGAGCCACCGCAGCACACACAAAAACAAATGCCCACATCAACACTTAGCTTGCCTGACTATGTGTTCTTTATCCTTTTCTGTATTAAGTTCGTTGGTCCCTAACTTCATAAATTTTTGACAGAGAAGGCAAATGTGGCTTTCCAAATAAGGCATGGACCTGATGAAATTCAGAGGCCTAGAAGGAGATGGAGATGGACAGTCTATCTATAGGAGCATCAGGTGCCTTAGTACAGTAGATGCGACAAGAGATATAGGGGTGGCCATCATGTGCAGACTCCAGAACCCTATCCCTGGCAATATTTTTGTTCTTGAACTACATACTTATTGAATAAAGGAGGTTTAATTGTGTAGGAAAAAGAGCAACAGAAATTCATCATCAGTCCCAGCAAAGTAGCTGAAGTGAGTATCTCACTGGTGGTACTTGAACTGCTTCATGTTCTTATGAGAAAGGCACAATGAAAAACCTACAAAGTTCCGACTATGGTTTGGGCATTGTTTTTCATTCACTCACCAAGTACTTGATGAGGGCATTCTATGTGCCAACTACTATTCCAGACACTGAATATGCAGCAGTAAACAAAAGAAATTCCTGTCCTCTGGGAACCCACATCCAAGTGGAAGGAAATAGATATTAACCTGCTGAATATATGATACGCCAGCTGGTGGTAAGTAGTGAGGAGAAAATGTAGCAGGTGATAGAGTAGGGAATTTGCAGTGCGGTGCTGTTTTAGGTGTGCCAGAGAAGGCCTTTCTGGAGATAAGTTATTTGAACAGAGACCTGCATGAATCAAGGGAGCAGGATGTGGGGTATATGAGTGAGACTAGCAAGGGTGAGAGCCTGAGGCAGGAGGACACCTAGTGTGTTTGTGGGGCAGTGAAGATGGAGCGAGGGAGAGGGCTAGACTTCATGTCGCCAAGGGAGCTGGGGCCAGGTTTAGAGCTAGGTTACTTAGCCATAGTGAGGACTTTTATATTTACCTGTGGGATCTGAGCAGAGCAGGGACACAGTCTCACTTATGATTCTTCAGTGAAGAATAGACACAGAGTAACAAAATTAGAAACCAAGAGGCCTGGTGAGGGTTTACTGCAGTAATTCAGGTGGTTGAATCAGGGTAGTGTGGGTAAACATGGTAAGAGGTGTCAGATTCTGACATATTTTGAAAGTAGAGTCAATAGGATTTCCCACTGAACTAGGTGTAGGATATGAGAGGAGAGAAGCCATGGAGAGCTCTAAGAATTTTGGTCTGAGCACCTGTTAGGATGGAAATCAATTTCCTGAAATGGGGAGATGATTTTGGACATATGCATGTGGGGCAGTTGGTGGTGGTAGCGAAATTTGTTTTGGACATGTTAGGTTTGAGGTGTATAGTGGATGGCCAAGAGGATCCAGTCATTAGATAGTGTGTATGTCAGACTCAAGTCAGCAAAGAGGTCTAGGTTAAACATGGGGGTTGTTGGCATATAATGGTATTTAAAGCTCTTTAAAGTTCTGTGTGAAATATGTAGCCAGTAAGTGAAGCCCAGAGTATTCCATCATATCAGTGGAGGTGCTTTGGCTGCCAGTCCCAGGGGCTGACTTTGGGTAAGCAAAAAGAAAATGTACTTGGATACTTAGAGAATTACAGAAATGAACCAATAGTATGAGAGGACTGGAGGGGAACCAGGGCTGTTCTGAGGCCTAAGGAGCAGGGAGCAAGTGAACATTTTAATGGCCTCCCAAAGATGTCCAGGTCCTAATTCCTGGAATTTGGGAACATGGCAAAGGGAGATTAAGGTTGCGAAGCAATGAAGAATTAATACGGTGGGAAGGTGGGACAGGAGAAAGGCAAAGCCTTAGGACCAATGCAACTGTGTTTAGTTCTGTACTTCTGACCAACATGTGCCAAACCCTAGCAGCTTTCTCTCAACATCTCGCCATCAGACATCAGCTGGTGAGAGTCATGAGCCAGTATTGCATATACAGGGCCTGTCTCCTCAAGTGGTTTTAACCTCCCCTGGGTATTGGCCATCTAAATGTCTTTGTTCTTATAATTCTATCTGGCCTGGTGCCATGCATAGCCAATATGCAATGCTGGAATGAACAAAGAAATGTTATGTAATATCTGTAAGCCTTAAAACTCCTCTTCAAAAGGAAAAGCATAACAAATCTCAGGGAAAAAACGATGTTGATGATGAGAAATCAACCTTAGAAAGGCAAACAGTGTATTGAAAGAATTGAGAATAAGTTATATTCAGAAGTTTGAATAGGTAATTACAGGTTTTATTTATCTGAGAAGATAAAAAAAATGCATGTTTATTTTTCTGATTTACTGAATCCAACAGTTT